TAAGTAAATAGTAGTTATGAAAACTGTGGAGCACTACGGGGGAAGATTATAATGAAAAAAGAGCACAAGGCAAGACACAAAATTGTATGTAAACTATGTTTGCAAGAATGCAAAAATATGCATATGAAAAAGGCAAAAGAATAACACCAGAATGAAAACTAAATTGATGAGAACATCCCATAATCCCTTATCCCTCAATCTGGCAGTCAGATGAGCTACCATATCTGGAATATTACACAGCACTCCTTAATCCAATGCACTAGTATTTCAGCCATTCCTCTATGAAGAGTTGCCTGAAACAGGATAAAGACTCCACGTAGCCTCCTTCAGTTAAGGTCAGATGTGTCCACTAGACAGTGCAGTTCAAATTGCAGATTAGTCCATGAAATACAAGAGAAAAGCCTTTCATTTATCAGCACATTGGGGATTTTGGAATCATAGATATGAGACTATAAATCTATAGTACTTGAAATTAACCACCATATTGGTTCTGCCACATGAATGATATTACAAGTATGAACCACAGGACCCATTCGATGCTAGAAGGACAGCCGTGGCCAGACATACCCACTGTGGCAGCAGCAAGCCTCAAGCTTTCGCTGTTAACCAGGTTTTTAATCTGGACCCCAATGGCTGTAACTCATTCTTGTTTTCCCTTGCACTTATCCCCTGCACTTGCTGGCTCCTTTCTAGACACTTTATATCTTTATGGAGAAAAAGTGAAGAATTCCAGTATCTAAACACAGCTTAAAAGAAGACTCCTGCCCCATTTTCTGCCATCCAGCACTTAGTCAATATATAATAACGATTAATAGATTTGTGCCCATAGCACATTCCCATTGCTGGCCTGTGCCTGATTTTTGTGGCTAGTGGTCAAAGTCCCTTTGCCATAGCCTCAGGGAACCAGACACAGAGACAGAGTACTGAGGTACAGAGCAGGGAAGTTCCAGGGAAGGATTTGGGGTAAGGAGCTTGCTGTTGACTCAGCCTCAGCCTGGAAGCTTTGATATGTACCCACATAGGAAGGTCAGCAGTCAGGGAACTGCTAGAAACCTGAGCCCCTCACTGCACAGCCGATACTGCCCCCTCCACCACCAGCCCTGTGAACTGAATCACAACATGATTGCCTTCACATGTTGGCATCATTTATGAAATGTGTCATATTCTGCAGGAGTTGCCCTCTCCCCCAAAATAGCAAGAACCACTGGAGATCCTTCTGGAAGCGGGACTCTATGCAGAATGCACACCCCACCCAATGACTTTGATTTGGGGACCTTTCCAAAATTATAACACAAATAGCAGCTTTACTAGTAGTCTCATAAAAGATACCAGGAGTCTTATAAAAGTTTTAAAAACATTTCCATGAATGTTAAATCTATGTTTCCCTCAATTTTTCTAGTATCAGAATATTTGGACATCTTGACATTGGCTGTTTGACATTTAATGTGTACTATGAGCTACTTACTAAGCTTTAGTCTCCCTCACCCTTTTCTCAGCCTCAACTCTACATATTTTCCCAACTTCCTCATTCCATTCAAGACTTTTAAATAAGCCCCCAAAGGGAACTACATTGTCTGAGTTACTAATATAGTCCCTGTTTACAGCCACCATGGTTACATATGCAGCCAGACAATAGCTGGGCAGCAGGTCCAGAGAACACATATAAGATAATGTAAGTGACAAAGATTTTAGGGGAAAATAGAACTGGTAGATTCTCTGATGCATTGGACCACAAGAAAGATCCCTGTGAGAGGCTCTATGCAGAAGATACTCTAAAAACTAAGCAAATGGAAAAAAGAGTGAATTATTAACTTCAAAAAAGACAAAAGGGTTTAAGAAACAAAGAATAATCACATCACACAATTTGGCTTAACAGGAAGCACAGTTTAAATGAGCATAATATAAACTCTAATTCATTTTTTTTTAATGGAATAACATTATATTGAGAAATCATAGGGAAGGGAAGTGTGTGGTAAGGAAGTTAGGTATAAGTGCTAAGTCCTCATCAGACATACTAGGAAATCAATACATGATGTCTAACATGGAGAAACCAAGAAAGCAGTGTGAGCATATTTTGTAGAAATATAATCCCAGAAAAAGCAGCTAAACACAAAAAAATGGTGGTGTCTGGTGAGTAAGGCTGAAGGGTAGAGGAAGTGAATAGCAATTTTTGCTTTTCATTATAAGCCTTTAAATACTGTTTGACTTTTTTTAACTATTTGCATGTAGTACTTTGATGAAAATCAATTTTAGTTTTAAAAAATGTAGGTGAAAAATTAAAAGGCTGTGAAGAGATAATTCACAGAAAAACAACTGCAGACAACCCTTAGACTTGAAAAGATGTTTGACCTTATAAAAAATTAGAGAAATGCAAATTTAAATTAAACTGAGATACTATTTCTCATCTCTCAGATTGGGAAAAATCTGAAAGTTTGATGCCATCCTCCTTCAGCAAGGAAAACTTGGCAATATCCATAAAAACTGCAGATGCATTTCTCTTTGACCCAGTAAACCTTCTAGAAATGCACTCCTGAATGCACATGAAATGCCATACGTATAAGGTTATTCACTGTAATACTGCTGGTAATACTGAAAGATTAGAAACAATCCAAATGTCTATCAGTAGGAGACTGGTTAAATAAATATGGTTCAATCACTTAGTGGAAAAGTTTTACAATCTCAATGTATAAGAAAAAAACTTGCATAGTTTTACAACCAGCTCCCAGGGCCTCCGAAGCAGAGAGGACTGTGTCGAAAGCCTCTCAGACAGAGCAGGCTCTGCCCTTCCGAAGTCTAACTTAAGGGGAACTTGACTCCCAGACCCTTCCAAAACCTTAGAAACAAAGCAGGAGAAGCAGTGAGGCAATGTCAGACTTCACGTCGGTCCTGGGTCCACATCCCACTTGGTCGCTTGATTAACTGAGGCACTCATGGCTTCAGTTCCTCGTCCCTCCGTGGGGATGAAATTCCCGACCTCGCAGGGTTGCTGTGGGGTGGTGTATGTGACATAGTTGCTGCAGGGCCTGACCCACAATAAGCGCCCAACAACCTAAGTTACTGTTAATAGAAGTACTGGAGAAAGGAATCCGTCTCGAGGGCTGTGTTCATCACAGGAGGAAATTCATCTTGGAAATACCAAGATAAGAATCAAAAGTCTCTGCTCCAAAGAAAAGAACAGAGGACCATCCCGCCCACAACCAGCAGTTTCGGAAGAGCCCGTCCTCCACCGGCAGACACATGTATCGCATGGGCACCGCCAGCACCACCAGCACCTCTGGGCCGCGCCTCCTCTGAGGACTGGCAGGCGCTTTCCCTAAGGATCCTGTGCAGCAGCACTGGAAGGACCTGGGCCCAAACACCTGCTCAGGATGAGAAATCCGAGCACAGTGGTGAGCTCGAGAGCACACGGGGCCAGAGTTCCATTCCGTAGCTACGCCGAGCCACTAGCAAAATTGCTCATCGGGTATACATTGTATGATAGCAGTTTTCCAGTGATTCAAAACAGGAGGAATAAACTTAAAAGTAAGTACTTAGGACGTGGAACCCAGCAGACTGAGTCGCTTCTGAAAGGGGTTGTGATCAAAGTGAAAGGGTATGATCAATATGGGTGGACTAAGTAATGTGTCTATGTATGTCACCCTTTTTATAGCTGTGTCTAGGCTTCATCTTTTATATACTTCCTATGGAATTAAACCCCAAATTTAGGGCAGTTTGCATTACAGTGAAAACAAGGATTTCTAGAGGGTGCCCAATCCCTGTCCAGCAATGACTAGCTGTATGATGTTGAGTTTCCATTTCCTCATCTGAAAAAGTGGACATCAGCCACCTTCGTTGTGTTGTTGCAAAAATAAAATCAGATAACTGTGTCTGGCACATAGCAGGCACTGCTTCCCTCAGACCCATACCTCATCTACATAGGAGACCTCATCAGTCACATAGCAACCTCCAACCCTTGTCTTTGAATTCCAAGAAATATTTCTCCCTAAGCATCTCCAAAAATTGAAAAAATAAAATACCTTCCATAATATTTATGTAGACAAATAGTTTTTAATTTCCTCAGCCAGAACCAAGAGTTAAAAAGAATCTCATTAGGAAGATTTATAAAGTTATTTCTTTTCAAGTTCCCCCAAATACCTTCTTCACCCACATTTCCCTTCATCCACAGTTCCCACCATGGAGAATTCTGGATCCAGCTATGTTCACTGGGTTCCTGATTCTCCCACATTCCTATACCAGGCATTTGCTCATGGTAAACACTCAATAAATGGCTCTTAGCTGAACCAAACAGAAAGCGGTAAAGAATTTCAACAAAGATATGTTGAGCATTGCTATATGCTAGGCACTGTGTGAACCCTTTTCCCTCCAGCATTTAATTATCACAACAATCTGGAGAGATAATTATCATTGTCCCCATCTTACAGATGACAAAGAGAACTCAGAGCATTAAGTGACCTGCTTAGAGTCCACTGTGGGAAGGGGCAGAAGGGATGGAACCCAGGAGCTTGTTGCAAATAGAGGCCTCTCGCTTCTAAAGTACCTTGTAACTGCTCTCCTTTTCCATCCACCCCCTGTGCACAAAGAGAAGCCCCTCATTTTCAGCAAGTCTTTTGATAACTCCAAAAGATGGGCCACATCCCTTTCTCTACCTCTATTGGTGAACAAAGATAACATCATGCTTCCAACACGCTAGTCAGACGGGGAAAAATTCCCATGACTTCAACAGTTTTCCATCCTCTGGAACAAGGACATTTACACAGAAGTTTCACCAGAATATATACATATTGCTTTTAAATGACACCAATCTCTTTTTAATATGGTTGAAATCCTAAAATATAAGGTTTAACAGCTTCCTTTCTTGTATCTTGAATAGACACATAAATCTGAATAGATATACAAACTGTAAATACAACAGCCCAACTAGTTACATTGGGCTCTCACATCAATATAGATTTTTCCTTACAGCTTGCACCCACTTTGACTCTGATCCTAGACCCGCTGACCTGAAATAGTTGCTGGCTGCCGCGAGCACCACGCGGTGACAGGAAAATTCCTGAATGTCCACACACAAGATGACATCTGTCAGAGCATTTTCCCCTCGGAGGGTCTCCAGGCCATTCTGCAGAATTAATGACAGTCCTGTGTCGTCAAATTTTACTTTATCTCCATTTAAGATTTCTACCAGGTCTCCCCTTTTCTGAGATGGCTCATCTGTAGAAGGTACCAGGGGCCCTTCCAAACTCTTTTCTACCACGTCGCCCATGGCCCAGGTGCCCCTTTGTCCCTCCATCAACATCCAGACCGAAGAAGTGCCCGAGCTTCAGCAGGTCCCATTGCCGAAGCTGAGCGGATTTCCTGTGCAGGGCCCTCCACTTATCACCAGCTGTCACACACATAACAGGAAGTCTCGCACTTTCTCATCCTGTTACTACAAAAGCCAGTAACTTCTATTCTTCTTTTTTCTGTGAGTCAACACAAGGTTAGAGATTACTTAGAAGGGGAGTGTAGGAAGGGGCGCTAGGAAAGAAGGGGTGGCTTCCCAGGGTTGCTGTTAGTGCTGAGTGGTTATTTTGGTCCATCTCCCCCCATATCCGTGAGCAGGAAGCCTCTGGTTCTGGTTATTACATTTATACCTGTGGGGCTCCTATAAGCCAATTGTCAATGATGAGACAAGCAGGGACATTCTGCAACTCTGCCCCTCCTTCTTCCCAGTAGTCTGAGACCCCAGGGTGGGCCGCCACCACCCTGGGCCCCCACCCAGTCCCTTGGGGCCCTTAAAAAATTCATTTATCTCTGGCATTCTCATCTCTCCAGCACTGCACATCTTCTGCCTTTGTCTTTTTCCAGCTAAGGGGAAAACAGTGTTATGGCAAATATAATATTCCCACAGCCAAAAAGGGCTATTGTTTCAGATATGCCTCTGGGGACAGAGAAGAAATAGCCTCCAGAAACTCCATCCTCAGAGTCTTTTCCCATAGAAGACCAATCAGTTCAACACCAGATTACCAAGTCTCAGATTGGCCTGCTCTCACCCCACATCTCCTGGGCCTACACCTAGTGGTACATCATCCCCCTGGTTCTGGTTATTACCTTAATGAAGTCTTTTCATTACCTCTGAAATTATCCATTAAATAGTAATAACTATTTTTTTTATTAAACTCCCACTATATCCTGGAAGATTTACAAGAGTTAATTTATTTTAATGTATTTTAGTAACAACCCAATGGGGCAGATATGACTTTCCTCATTTTACAGTAAAGGGAGCTGAAGCTCTGCACAGGTGAGTAGCACGGCCCAGTTCTGTTTGGCTCCAAAGGCCCTGTTTCCTCCATCACATCAGGATGCTGGAGCTATAATACCATGTTGGTCCTGCCCCTGTGTCGCCCATGGAGAGAGCTGCAGGGCTTGCCTGCCCTGGCAGCACAGTTCCCAATGCCTTGCCAAAGTGGCCACTGGGGTCTCACTCCTGTTCCCATTCCCTTTCCAGCACTAGGGAGCACTACCTGTGCTCCCAATCACAGGGGGTCCCAGTCCCTTCCCTGCGCTAGTCACTTGTGACTGAGCCTCTCCAGGAGCCCTGGTCCACCCCAGCCCCTCTTGTCTTCCAGGAATACTTACTCCTCATGTCAGGGACATGGATATTCCCCTAAATTTGTGCTTTATACAGAGCTCTGTCAATCAAGATGCTTTTGGCTTCAGTAACAGAACATCCCATCACAAATGGCTTAAAAGATAGGAGTCTCCCATTATACACAGTAGCGTGGAATCCCAGACTGGCCCAGAAGCTAAGTGATGTCATCAAGGACACAGGATTTCTCCATCTTTCAACTCTGTCACACCCTCAATGTGATGGAGTTGTTACCTCCTGGCCACATAATGGCTGCCACAGTACTAACCAGTCTAAAGCAGGAAGAAGGCCTCTCCCCTTCCATCTCTGTCTTTTAACCAGAAAGAAAATATTTCCTAAAATCTCCATCTATATTTAGACTTCTCTTAGATCACTTGGCCACCTCAGACCAAACTCCAGGAAATACAAACAAAGTAACATGATTGGCTTGCACTAAACATGATTCATCCCCTGGGACTAGTCTACCTTCTCTAAAATCAAGGAATAGCCATCTGAGAGCTGAACAAAATCAGGGCCTGTTATCCAGGAAGAGGGGGAAGGGCTGGTATGCAGTTAACTTCCTATGCCTGCCTCAGGAACATGCGCAGCCCTGGCTCCTCCTGCAGGCCTTGGCGGGGGGAGCTCAGTGCTTCCACTTGCAGGGTGCCAACTACCACCTCTCGCAGGCGCCAACACAAACCCAAGCCCTCTCATGGCATCTTGTCCCCCAGATTTCTCAAATTATAAATGACATTGGCTATATTCAGCTCTTTCCCAACGTCCAAATGAAACAATATTAAGAATAAAACTCAATTCTTCATTCATAACAGGTTCTATTCACCAAGTTCCCTTACTATTTTTCATGAGCCTCCCAAACTCTCCTACCCCATTCCCTTAACATAAGCAAATAACTGTTGTCTTTCCCCTACCTTCCATTTCCCTAGTAAGCAGACACATAGATTTGTACTATGGGTACGATAATATTTACAATTAAATTTAGTAATGCAGAGGTAAAAACACAATCAGTATGGCATGTGTGTCAGCCTGAATATGCTCTGAGATTCAGCATGAACTGGTAAGTATTTTTTATTGCTAAAAGCAAAATAATTCTGTTCTTCAGGAGTTTTATTTTCCCTATCAGGCAACAAAATATACATGGCATTGGCAAAACCTTTATTACTGAGAAAACTATCTAATCATATCTTACTAAGGTGAGTTGGCTTTATAATGCTTGTAAAGAATAGATTCCATCCCCAGACAGTAATAGCTTCATTCAAGGAAAAGTCTGTATTCCTGTGGCCCCAGATTGCCTCTCTGACTCTCATCAGCTGTCTTCCTAACACAAATTACAGGGAAAGAAACAAGTCTTCAGAGTAAGAGCCACTGTTCCTTTGTGTTAACTTACTGCTACCAAAACTATCACTCTTTGAGCATCAGTTATATTCTGGAAACTGTAAGAAGCACTTTATGAACTCTGAAAGACTTAGTCTTTCCACTAATCCTGTGTAGTTAGGTCCTATGATCTCCATTTAGAGACATGAAAACACACAAGATCACGTAACTGCAGCACACAATGTTGCTGCCATTCCGGTATCCCCTCAGCCCATCCTGGAGGTCACACACAGACAGTTCCCACCCACACCAGAAGCCTCTGTCTGCCCAACAGTATTCTCCAGCTGCAGGAGCACATGGGCTTGTAGGAGGTGCTGAAGAGTTCATGCCGCTAAGAGTGACCTTCAGCCCAGAGCCAGGAGTTGGTATATGAAATGTTAGCTTCCTTGTCTCTTGGTGGGGCAGTACTGAAGTATGCTCTACACTGTCAGAGGACTCTCAGAGCATTGAGCTCCAGTTGCCCATAATAGTAATCCACCCGTCCTCTACAGGGTTCCTGCCCTTCCCATCTCAATTCTACTTTGAGGGGAAGCCAAATTAAGACACATAGCTAGTGAGTGGCAGAATCAAAATTTGAACTCAGGTCTGGCTAATTCTAAAGCCCAAGCTTTCCACTTTTCACTGTTCCCCAGTGGCCCCAATGGAATCCCAGTCCCAGTGACAGGCTTTCCCAGAAACCCTCCAATGTAGCTGTGACTTTGACCTAGCAGGGTTAGGGATCCCATCTTCCAGTCCCTCTGACCTGAGATTCCCCCCAACCCCACCCCACCAACGTAGCCAGTGCCCAGTCAGCTCTGGTTTCTGCTCTCTGCTGCTGCATTCCAGTGCTCAAGGGCCTAACCCGTGACTGTGGGAATCCACAAAGCCAGCTGACATCATGCCTGCCTTCATAGGGAGCAGTCACAATCACAATGGCACCAGAGCATGGCGAGCTACCCCTGAGCACCCTGGGTCTCTTCCTGCCACATTTTACAGGGCTACACTGCCTTGAATACCATATTGCCAACAGCCCACTGCTTCCGCTGTTCCCTCCCAGAGAAGGAGGGGACTCCCCCTTTTCCTTTTCTGAGCAAAAAGCATGGACACTCTTGGCTGAAGGGATAGTGAATTTTAAAAACATGTGTCCGAAGTTACAGATAGTGTACTACCCCAGGGAGGTTTAAGGTCTTATTTCCCCAGAAAGCCATTTGCTTCTATTCCAGGGTAGGAAAGGAAAAGTAGAGACTGCCCTTTCTATCCCCAGAGAGGATTTGTTTACATTCCAGAATTAAGTCTCTTTTTCTCTCTCTAGAGGATAAAATGGGCCAATGTGCCAGCTGCTCTACATAAGCTTTGAGTCTCACGATTTCAGGGGCCCCCACCTGTGGTGCCACCCCACCACACACTAAGGGGTGACACAGGGCTTTCGCTGCATGCCCATGGTGACTGTGGTGCAGGCAGGCAGAAGATCTGTGAGTGATACGTGGTCTTTTCTCTAATCGAGAGACCTCCTATTTTCTTTCAGAAAAAAATTGAAATATATATACATTTAACATGCAGTTCATTTTAACCTGATTTCTTCATGATGCAGGGCAAAAAGTGTGTGAGAGTGAAACCAGCAGAGTGGATAAAGTAAAAATTTGCTTCAGGGTCTAAACCCCATGGGGGCAGGATGCTGGGCACCTGAACTTATACTCTGTCCTTGTTGCCCACAAAATGCCTACTTACCCTTCAAGAAACTTGCCTCTCCTACTTATCCTTCAAAAAAAAGTCTACCCCAACATACCTACATTTATTGCAAGCCTTACACGTGTACACACTGTACTGCGCATGCTTCTGTGGATGCACTAAAGTGTTGTACTGTAATCACCTGGCTACTGGTCTGTCTCCCCCGGTAACCTAAAGCCGGCCATGTCAAGTAATCCACATCCCAGAGCCTGGCACATGCCCAGTGACCTGTTGTAATTGTGTGTTTTCATGTCGCTAAAATAGAGATCATAGTACCTAATGATGGAGAAAGTGAAGGTCCCTATGGCCAGAATTCTCACCTGGCCCTGGTCGGCTTGCTCACTGCACACCTGTGGGCAATACGTTATTATTGGCTCTATAAAGAGCTCTGCCCAGTGTTCTGGGCTGCATGGCTACAGGAGAGCTAGAGGCTAGAATGGTGGCAATGCCGAAGACAGAGACTGAGATGCCTGCGGGGGCAGAGAGGCCCAGAGGCAGAGACCGGCTTGCTGCATGCAGACTCGCGGTGAGTGAATGGGATTCTAGTGACTGACCTGCCACAGTAGGAATAAAGTTGGGTATAAACACTTTCACTCCAAGAACGTTCCATTGTCATTCCTCAGTCTCATTGAATCCGTGGTGAACTTGTCCGG